AAACCCTAAATCCCAAAAGCCCAAAACCCTCAGCCCCAAACCTCAAATCTTCACCAGGACAGCATCTTGCCGAAGTTCCCGAGCTTCCGGGACAGGAGGCGGGTGGGGATCGACGGCCCAAGAGCCAGGGTTTAGGGTTTGGGGTTTTGGGGTTTTGGGTTTGGGGTTTAGGGTTTTGGGTTTGGGGTTTAGGGTTTGGGGGTTTGGGTTTGGGGTCTTGGGTGGTCGGGTGGGGTTGGGGGTCGAGGATTCTGCTCTGTGTGGGGATGCAGCTGCTTGGGGTCAGGATTCTGAGATTCCGGCAATTTGTTTGGAGGCATGAGCATGGGCATTCCCAAACAAAGAAAGCAAAGACCTAAGCTCTGGCTGGTTCTTAGTAGGCAATGAGGGAACTAGGGCCCTACATCATCCCTTAAAGGGTATATGTAGGGCCCCTCATTCCCTCATTCCCTCCTAAGGGTCAGTGTGAAGTTGCGTGGCGATCTTGTGAGGCGGCTGTTGCGTCCGTCCTGCCAGACTTCCGCCAGTTCATGGCCAAGGAGCTGGGGGTAATATAGGGGGTCGGAAGAAGTACTACCCTTACTTGGAGGTTGAGGGTACTTATAACCCCAATTATCACTGTACTTATAAGCCCCCCTAAAGTCCCCTAAGTAGGTTATAAGTAGGTTCATAGGTGTGGTTATAAGTACCCATGAACCTCCAAGTCTGCTCCCTAGATAAGTATACTAGAATTGTGAAGGCCCCTACGTTACAAAACCCACTTCCCAAGCCAAGCAGCGAGGTAGGCACACTTCACCAAGGATGCGTTCAGTGGCTGTTTGCGCTGCAGTAGCCTCTGAGGACGAACAGCTTCACGTGCTGTGGGACCAGGCCTGCTCCTCAAGAACACTGTTTTGGAGTGCCTGCGTTCCTTTCAAGACTTGTCATTTAACATGTAGGCGAAGGCAAGGAAGACATAAGGTAAGAGCTCATACCACCTGGCCCCTTCAAACCCTACATGATCGTACATAAACTGAACTGTAGACCTAGACCCAAAACCCACGATTCGCAAGAGCACCGAGCTCACGTGCCTCCACTCTGCTCCGAGAGTGGCTTCTGAATTTGTAAGGCCATTGCCAGTCCTCACTTAGGCTGTCCAGGCAGACCCAAGGATCTTCCGAGACATTCCTTCGGAGGCCACGGGCTGCAGGGACGGTGTCTTACAGGGCATTTGGCCTACAGAGTCGAGAAGGTGTGTAGCGCTTCCTGTCAAGAATGCTGAGGTGTGTTGGTCCTTTGGTGGTCCTTCCAGGGTTTCGGGTTGCAGTCCTAGGGCAGCATGTCCAGATACGTAACATCACTCTCGATCCGCAAGTGTGGAACAAACTCGCACGGCTTGAGGCCAACACGGTCATGTCTCCTTGGTCCCTGTTTTTGGCAATTCATCGGGTGGTTTCATCTGCTACGTGGCTTCGCACGAACGCCCGAGGTCCAATAATACTGCCCTGGGGCGAGACTAGGTAGGCCCTTAGGTTCTCTCATTTTTTCCTTAGGCCCAATGTCAGCCCCGACACCTTACATCCCCAACCTCCCTCACCCCCATAAGCTTCCCTCCAGGATCCCATAGCTGATCAGATCGAGAAGGCGGGTGCTACAAGTAGCATGTGTGCCCGTGGTGCCAGCCAACAGTGTTCATACGGCAAGGTGCAGGGACAGGCTGGCTTGAAGCAAGTCAAGTCATTACTTGAAGACATGGCATCGTGCTGGTATTAAGGCCCTGTCAGAGCGGTGCCTGTCCGCAAAATCTAAGGACTACGGGGCCCTGCCCAGTTAACAGGAGACGCAGAGTTAAACTAGAGGTCTAATGACAATGTTTGCTGGGTTCCTGCAGCATCCACACCCTATCACCGCAGCTCGTGAGGCAAAGCCCGTGAAGAAGTAGAGTCCAAAAAACACCAACACTTGTCGAGACTTACCTAGATCTCCAACTGGCCCACAGGATAGCTCAAATACCTTTGCTTTTGGGGTTGCAGGTCTTCTTATGGCCCGCATCGTCAGGGCCCAGATACGTCATCAGGCTTCGGGCCCACAGTAAAGCCCGGATCAAAGCCCAGCCGACAAAGTCCCTGCGTAGACTGAGCCTCAAGACCGAAGTCTCAGGGCACACTATCCTTAACCCTAAGGACCCTAAGCTCTAAAACCGATTATGCCTGCTCAGGCAATTCGGGTGTCCGCCGTGCAGCCCAGAACCTGGATGTTGGCAGGCCAATCCCCCAGAGCCTCGAAAAACCTGGACGCGAATTCATGCATTCATGCATTCATGCAGTGCATTGCATTGCGCTGCATTGCGTTGGAGCACCTTCCTGTACATACACACGTATGTACGTACGTACATTGTGTGTATATATATGTATATACACATAAAATACATCGTAGGTAGTGAGTTTATATACACATAATGTGTGCATACGCATCTTTACATAAATACAGGATAAATAAATACATATATAAATAGCTACATACAAAATAATGAATAAATAAGGAAATAAATAAGTAAATATACACATATATATACATATATGTATTTATTTATTTATTTGTTTATTTATCTACTTCTGTGTTTGTTCATATTTTGTTGTTGCAGTGTCTATATATGCATATATATATATGTATATATATATATACACACATACATATACATATATACATACATACATACATACATACATACATACATACATACATACATACATACATACATACATACATACATACATACATACATATGTGCATGTACTTTTGTATTCATGTATATATATATATATATATATGCATATGTGCATGTGCGTATGTACACGTATTCACATGTGTATGCATGTTTTGTATGCATGTTTCGCATGTTCGGCATGTTCATCTATCATTGCTTGCGCATTGTTACAGGCTATAAGTTGTATCTGTGTTGTCAGCTGGCATACGGGCCTCGTAGTAGAGCTCCTGGGTGGAACCGCAAGCCCACTACATGAAACCAGCCGTGGACAAAAGGGCCCAATGGGCCTCCCAGTGACCCTTCAGCCATAAGCCCGAACTTGCCCCGGACCCAGGCGTTTTCCTGTCGGGCATGGCCGAGGGCCTCCTTGGAAAGTCCAGCCTGACTGCAGAGCAGGCTTGATCCAGAGAGTTCGTACGTTTTTGTAGGGCTTTTTCGCGCAGTCCAGTTCAGGGTTTGAGGTTCAGGCTTTGGGGCTTAGGGTTTAGGGTTTCCACTGCTTGCACCTTTCGCGCAGGCTTGCATGCTTGCATATGCTTGTTCTTTTCTGCTCTTCTCCAGTAGGCGTGTCAGAGGCAATTTCTTTGTGTGGGTTGCCTCCCCTGGCCATGGCCCCGTCTGTTCCCAGCATGGAACCATGTTTATTCATCCCGAAACCCTGGAACACCGTAAACCAATAAGCCTGCAAGCGTCAGACCCTAAAACCTGATCTACCGAGTTGCGGAGTGCTCTTAAGGGCTTGATCTTCCTGATGTACCTGGAGGCTGCTCGACGTGCTCGGCTCTTTGCGATTGCCTCGAAGCTCACGGTCGCTGGGCATCGGATGGTCAGGTTAAGGGTGAGAGTTGAGTTTAGGGTTTCGAGTTGCTTGGTGCTTAGGGTTTGGGAATAGGGTTGATTAGCATGCGCAGTGTGCTTCTTCTCATGTTCTGCAAAGCCCATGGTCCGCTGTCCTCACCTCACAAACCATAACACCTCACAAGCCCTGGGTGCTTTACCGAGGACTTCTCTTGACCCGAACCCTAAACCCTAAACCCTAAACCCCAAACCCCAAACCCTACACCCCGGGGCCCAAGCTCCTACAAGCTTAGGGTTTAGGGATATTTAGGGTTCAGGGCTTAGGGTTTAGGGCTATCTAGGGTTTAGGGCTTTTTCGGGTTTGGGTTTCAAAAGGATTTTTTGGGGAAGGCGCCCGACTTTAAGGTCACAAGCTCTCCGGACCTCAAGTCGTCAACCCTGCAAGTCTGAAGTAATCCATAGCCTGACTTTGCACGCATCTAGGTGTTGAGACCCTAAACCTAAACCCTAAACCCTAAACTCTAAACCCTAAACCCCTCGGGATGCCAATCAAAAAAAAACTTTTTTCCAATCAAAAAAACTTTATTCCAATCAAAAAAAAACTTTTTTCCAATCAAAAAACAACTTTCCTTTTCAGATAGGAGGACAAGAGGGAAGGGAGGAGGAAGGGAGGGACGGAAGGCAGGAAGGAAGGAAGGAAGGAGGGAGGGCAAGAAGGAAGGAAGGAAGGAAGGAAGGGGGGAAGGAAGGAAGGAAGGAAGCAAGGAAGCAATCTGAGGCCCCTTAACTAACTTAAAGTTGCGAAGTTTCTTGAAGCTCCTAAACTTCATTGAAGTCTCTAGGCGTTTTGAGGCCCCTAAACGTCCTGGAAGTCTCTAAAATCACGTAAAGGCTCTAAGTTCCCTGAGGCCCCTAGTCTCTAAGCGTTTTGAGGCCCCTAAACTCCCTTAAAGTCTCGAAGTGTTTTGACGCCCCTGAACCCTCTTAAAGTTTCTCAGTTTCTTGAGGCCCCTAAACTCCCTTAACATCTCTGAGCAATTTGAGGCCCCTAAACTCACCTAAAGTTTCTAAGTTTCTCGAGGCCCCTAAACTCCCGTAAAGTTTCCAAGCGTTTTGAGGGGAGGGCCTATTTTGGGGGTCTTTTGTTTGTCGATTTTCTTGGTTTTCCTAAGAAAACCACCATTCCCTCTATATTTTTTAAAGGATTTGATGCATTTTCGTGGTTTTCGTACGAAAAGCCGTAATTCCCTCTGTTTTTTCATAGGAAAGCGTTATTTCTTGTAGGTTTTAGAAGGAAAGAAGGAAAGAAAGACAGGAAGAAAGGAAGGAAGGAAGGAAGAAGGACCAAAGGAAGGAAGGCAGGAAGGAAGGAAGGAGGGAAGGAAGGAAAGAAGGAAGGAAGGAAGGAAGGAAGGCCCTAAACCCTAAACCCTCAACCCTCAACCCTGAACCCTGAACCCTGAACCCTGAACCCTGAACCCTAAACCCTAAACCCTAAACCCTAAACCCTAAACCCTAAACCCTAAACCCTAAACCCTAAACCCTAAACCCTAAACCCTAAACCCTAACCAAGCGTGCTTCAAAGCCCAAGAAACTAGTTGAAAAAAAACATTGTGTTTGCAAGTGGGGGGGGGGGGCTGCGCCCCCCCAAACCCCCCCGCCTTTTTTTTTGAGCCGTGCAGAGCGTGACCCCCCCACGCTTCTTTTAAGCCGCACCAAGCGTGCTTCAAAGCCCAAGAAACTAGTTGAAAAACATCGTGTGAGCATTGTGTTTGCAAATGGGGGGGGGGCTGCGCCCCCCCCAACCCCCCGCTTTTTTTAAGCCGTGCAGAGCGTGCTTCAAAGCCCAAGAAACTTGTTGACGCCCATCATGTTGCAATGGGGGGCGGGGGAGGCTGCGCCCCCCCCCAACCCCCCCCCGCTTTTTTAAGCCGTAACAAGCGTGCTTCAAAGCCCAAGAAACTAGTTGAAAAACATCGTGTGAGCATTGTGTTTGCAAATGGGGGGGGGCTGCGCCCCCCCCAACCCCCCCGCTTTTTTTAAGCCGTGCAGAAAGGAGTGTCTGTTTTGCCGCCCAAGACATATACACATATATATATATACACACATGCACACTAAACTATACATATCTTTGCGTCGAATGCGGTAAGTTTTTGTTGATGGAGAGAAAGTTTCTTTTGATGGGTCGGGTATCGTCCAAGAGACTCAAAACCTCTTGTAAACTACCAAGGAAAGTTTATTTTTGATTGGGAATAAGTTTTTTTGATTTCCGGAAAGTTTTTTTCGATTGTTAAAAAAAATTTGATTGGAAAAAAGTTTTTTTTGATGGGTTTTCCCCTCCCTAAACCCTAAACCGTAAACCCTAAACCCTAAACCCTAAACCCTAAAGCCTAAACCCTAAACCCTAAACCCTAAACCCTAAACCCTAAACCCTAAACCCTAAACCCTAAACCCTAAACCCTAAACCCTAACCCTAAACCCTAAACCCTAAGCGGCCCTAAACCCTAAACCACCTCAGGCCAAAGCAGGGCGTCGGCGGGACGCCCGGAGCCCAAGGACTGTCTAGGTTGTTGGCCGAACCATCCTCTCCTGAAGAGTTATAGGGGTGAGGGTTTGGGGTTGAGGGTTAGGGTTTAGGGTTTTGGGTTTAGGGTTGAGGGTTTAGGGTTTGGGGTTTAGGGCTTAGGAACTCTGTTGTTTTTTGTTCATTTAACACCCATTGGAATAGTGAAAGCTGTTAGTCTAGCTGGGTTTCCAAGGGGGAAGCAGAGCTAAGCTATGGGCCGAGAGTTTTTTATCAACAAGGCCTCCTACTATAATCCTACCTAAATTCAAAACACCCGCTCTGAATCGGGGGTTGACTTACTAAGTTACCAAGTCGCAGCCCAATGTATATCCCAAGCTATACGGCCATGGTTGACGGTTGGATGTTGGATGTTGTGGGCAGTAGATTGCGTTGAAGGACGTCGGGCTTTCAGGCCTTTTAGGGTTTAGCAGGTTCAGGGTTTAGAGGATCCAAGTTTCCAGGCAGCTGCAACGTCTCGTGTTGTTGTCTGCTTGCTGTCATGCCACCCCAGTGGCGGCCAAGAGCAGATTTGCTTGTGCGAAGTGCGCCCACTTCAGTCTGACTTAAACCGGGTGAGCGGTCTGACTTAAGCCCCGTGAACCTTATGAGCCCTAAACCCGCAACTCTGAAACCCTATGCCTTGAATACCAAGCCCTAACTGCTAAAAACACTCCCGCAGCATCCAAGGCCCACGCACGTGAGCTGGACCAACTGGAAAGCGAAGAAGGCAACTCGCTTCAGCATCCCGCAAACCTATCAGTCTTACCCAGAATCCCTTTGGGCTCAGGGCAAATTTGAGGAGGTGGAGGTTGCTCAAATTGAGTTAAAGTCCTACCAGCTCCATAGGAGAGCCCCATCATAAGGTACTTGAAAGCTCCTAAACCCTAAACCCTAAACCCTAAACCCTAAACCCTAAACCTTAAACTCCAAACACTGAGACCCAAAGGGCAACCTTGCTCATCCAGAGCCTGTGTAGATGTTGTTGGTTTTATAGCTCCTGTTCAAGAATAACTCATACGTATCTATATAGGATATACGCACAAGTATACGTACAGCTTGTTGTTTCGGTTTTCCTTCATTCGCTAGCGATGTTTTCATGACTCAGTCCGCTTGGGGCCGAGGCTGCCGCAAGTTAGGTGTTCGGATGTTCTAGCTGTGAGAGCTGGGGCGCATGTGGCACTCAAAAGGGGCCACGCTTTAAAACGCGCACTTCCTGAAGAACCTTCCAGGCCCTTCTAAGCCCCAGACGAACATAGACACACGGGCAAGATGATCCTAAACACAAGCTCAACGAAGGCAATACAAGTACGCTCTTTGCTCGAACACATGACACCGTGCTGGACAACTGCTGAGGTCAGCATGCGCTCGAGGTCGAGATGATCTCGCCGCTCTCGAAAGTGCCCGGCGCTCGGCGGTTTGTTTTCAGCTCAGACCTTGCAGGGCTGCAGTTTAGGGTTTAGGGTTTAGGGCTTATAGGGTTTAGGGTTTAGGGTTTAGGGTTTCGGGCCGTCTGATACAGACATTCATATGGGCCATGCGCTTCCGACTGTGCTGCTGAAGAATGGCAAATCTTCGAGCTGTGTACCTAAGCCCCCGAATCTCAAGCCCCCCGGAAGAAGCCCCCGCAACTAGCTATGCCTTAAAGAGCCCTGCGTCTCTTGTGACAAGAGACCACGTTGGAGAGGACTTCTTGGGATGACGGTTGCTTAGGGTTTTCCGAGTAGATTTTTAGCGCAGGCTCCGGCCCTACTAAGAGCACCTACTTCGCTGACAGGAGACCATTTGACTGAGCATGGGCTTTGTTCATTGTGGTCTCTACCGTGAACAAATTACCGAATTCGTATCACCGTTACTCTTGCGCTCACGCTTGCGTACTGCTACTATCACTGGGAATATGACAATGATCATTAGTCTCGTCATTGCTTTCCTCATGCCAATGGAAGTGCCGTTTCCATTGCCAGGACCATTGCCATTACTTGCCGTTGCCGGTTCCATTACCATTGCCATTACCATCACCATGACCATTGCTTACATTCCCGCTATTCCTCTTATTCTTGCCATTCCTCTTCCTTGTGCTTCTATGACGAATACTACTACGACGACGACTGCTACTGCTGCTACAGCTACAACTACAACTACAATTACAACTACAACTACACCTCCTACTACTACTACTACCACCACTACCACTACGACTACCACTACCACTACCACTACCACTACCACTACCACTACCACTACCACTACTACCATTTCTACCATTACCATCACTACTACTTGCAAATCTGAAGTACCAGATACTGATTACTATACACTAGCTATTCTTCCGCAACTACGTGTTGCGAGGACTACACTGCGCTCATTACTCATTCCTAATTGCTAGTTTATAGGTACGAAATATGAACGACTAATGACTAGCGACTAATTACTACTGACAGATTTTCTACTTGCGAATTTCGAGTTACTCATTCCTAGTTTCACATTACAAGATACTCATCACTGGCTATTACTTTAGAATCGCTGATCTCCATGTTCAGTATGGTGCAGTTCCAGCCGCAACTGGAAACTCCAACTTCCCAATGCCCACCCCAGGTCCTTCAAGAACTTCACGGTTGATCTCAGCGAGCAACCGGCATCCCCCACATCTGCCGCCAAGGAGGCCGCGGGGGGAAAAAAGCCAGCTACACTTGCCACTTCGAACATCCCCACCTGTCACTGCCAGGATTTAGAGTTGCAGTGTTGGGAACGGAGAGCTTTGCTGCTGTTTCCCATGCTAAGAGTTTCTGGTCCGATGGAGCAGTTTGGAGCAGTTTGGGTAAGGTTTCGGTCAGCACGTCTGGATTGTCCATTTCATGTGGTGGAAGAATGTGTGCAGGTGTTCTGGATGCATGTGCTTAGTACCATCCCAATGCATACGTGTATTCTGTATGCTTGTAAAGTGACACATGTCGGAAAAGAATACGGAACCAAACAGCCAATAACCTTAGCAACCGCCACTCCCACAGCATGCAACGTTTGCGTGTTAAGTTTGGATGTTGTTTCAAGGAAGCCGGGTTTATGGTAGGTTCGGGAGGGGCTTGTCGCAGTTCCGACTTTTGTGCCAGAAAGAGCAACAGGCTCTGACTGGTGACGGGATGGGTAGGGTTAATGGCTCAATCTTTGAGATGTTCCAGTTTTTGGGGCTTTAGTGCTTCTTTTTAATTGTAAGAAGAGCTCCTGAACTTCCGCATAACTTATGCCTTAAAATTGAGCAAGCTGCTGGCCGATCGGAACCCACCAACCGTGAAGCCTTTGATCAGGCAATCCCTCATCGTTTCGAGCCAGCTATGTAGCCATTGAGATGGGGCTTGTGCAGCCCCTAAACCCTAAACCCTAAACCCCGTTGCAAGGGCCAACCCTCCCCTACTACAGACCGCTGGGATTTGACTTGTGCAGCCAAAGCGTCTGCTTACTGAGCCGGAGCCTCCCTCGCCTGCCTCTTAATTACAAGGCAACATTTGGTTTAGGGTTTAGGGTTTAGGGGAATAAGCAAGGTGGACCAGGAATGTCACTGCGCAAGGAGGGCACATCCATGCAGCCTGGAGAAGCCGAACAGCAACTGCGTGCATTTTTTAACAGTCCCTGGCAAACTTGCCACTCATATGTACTAGAACCTATGCCATATGCCCAAGTCTTTCTCGCTCCCACACAGCCTGAAATTAAAAGACCTTCTTCAACCCTTGCACTTTACAGGCGAAGCTGCGATGCCTCCAATGAACTTCCAAACCCTCTAAACCTGATCCCTAAACCTAAACCCTAAACCCCAAACCCCAAACCCCAAACCCCAAACCCTAAACCCTAAACCCTAAACCCCCTGCCCCTGCCAAGCCTCTCCCACCCCCTAAAACAGATTCTCCGCAACGCGCTGGCGAAAACACCTATCGACCTGGAGGCGGGGGCATCGCTTAAGGCTTCAAGGGTTGAAAGGATTTAATTAAGGGATTTAAGGGGTTAAGGGGCTCGAGGATGTATCGCCCTGTTTAAGACTTAGGGTTTGGGGTTAGTTTTCTTCCATATGTGCACGTTGGGCTCACGGGCTTGAGGTTTTTTTAGGGCACACATCATTGAATCATGCATGTGGAGGCCATGTCTTGGCGGCCAGTTGGCATTCACGGTGTCACAGCCTCGTTTGAGCAAAACCCCTAAACCCCTGAACCCCTAAACCCCTGAACCCCTGAACCCCTAAACCCCTAAACCCTAAACCCTAAGCCCTAAACCCTGAACGTGTACGCAGTTCTATCCCTTCTTGAGCTGTAGCCTCAAGCCCTCGAGCACACATCCCAGGCCAGAAGCCCCCCAATACTAACTAGGAACCGGAGTAGGCCCTTATTCTCTTTTGTTAGGGTTTAGGTTCCCTTCTAAGCCCCTGTAGAGCAACAAGGGTACCCGTTTATTCCTAGCCTACTCTAGGGCCTAAACCCTAACCCCTAGGCCCTAGTTTCAGATGCCGAATGCCTGGCAGGAGCTGTCCATGGCGCTGGAGCACGCGCGCAGGGCAGATGTGGACTCACTGTTGCTCCAGCGGGGAGAGGCGCACCCGGAGCGGAGGGGATTGAGGGTGCTGGGTTTGGGGTTTGGGGTTTAGGGTTTAGGGTTTAGGGTTCAGGGCAGGAGGTTGAGGCTTCAAGTTTCGCTCGTCCTGTCCGAAACCGCCGTCGGCTGTCTGGGTTGTTGGCCCTTTTCGGGTGCCAAATACTGTACCCGGGGCCACTTCGGAACTCTAATCTCTCTCCCTCTCTCCCTCTCTCCCTCTCTCCCTCTCTCCCTCTCTCCCTCTCTCCCTCTCTCCCTCTCTCCCTCTCTCCCTCTCTCTCTCTCTCTATATATACATGTGTAAATATATATATATATATATATATATATATATTGATAGAATATATTTATACACATATATTATATATATATATATTTTATACATATGTGTGCGTAAAAAAAACACAAGAAGGTCTGCAAGCTGCACAGGATGTCTTCATGGAGCTCATCGAGAAGCAGGCGGCCGTGACGCGCCTGGCCACGGCGCTGCAGAACCGGATGCTCAAGGACCCACAGTGCGACCTTGTGGGGTTTAGGGTTTAGGGTTTAGGGTTTGGGGTTTAGGGTTTAGGGTTTAAGGTTTAGGGTTTAGGGTTTAGGGTTTAGGGTTTTCAGGATTTAGAGTTTAGGGTGGCTGACAGGTTTACTAGGCGGTCAAGCGCGTTCTTCATTGTCGCATCTGTTCGTGCCGCTGGCGGTTAAGGTTTGATAGGACAGCTCAAGGGCAGGGGCAATCAAATCTCTGGAGTGATGGTTAGGACTTACGGTTCAGGCTTTGGGGTTTTGAAACCCTAAACCCAAGTCCCTAATCCCTAATCCTAATCCTGGAGTTGCGGTTCAAGTTTCTGGGCGATCCCTCAACTTCCAGCTGTCAAAACGTAGAATCCCCAGTTCTGACACACCGTCAGGCACCCTCAACCCTTACATCCTAAGCCCGCCAGGACCTCCGCCAGGCCATTGCGAAGGCGGAGTCCGCCAAGATTGGCCCCGACGAGTTTCCGGCCCGCTGCGGGCTGCCTTTGCGGATTTTTTTTGGTTCAGGGTTTAGGGTTTAGAGTTTAGGGTTTATAACCCCAAACCCTCAGCCCAGCCTTCGACCTGCAGAACTGCACACTTAGAGCAGCGTTTTTTTCCTAGGAGCAAGGCTACGTAGAGACGCGATCATTGAAAGTCGGCCGCGTAGCATTTTGGCTGCAGGGCGTAGGTTTGCGTAGGGCCCGCGTGGGCAAGTCTATGCAGCATGGGCGCGTAGGTCCGCGTAGGTTGTCTATGCTTGCCTCGTAGGTCCGCGTAGGCATGCGTCAACAACATACTCCGCGCGTAGGCCCCGCGCCTACTAAACATGAGCTGACGCGTAGGCCCGCGTAGGATACCCATGCCATTACAACACCCCAGACAATGAAAAAAAAAGTGTTCACTTGAGCTGCATAAAAGCGCGATGGTGTGTTGTGAAGCGAGCTTCGACATAGGGGGTGCATCATCTAGATTGCAAACCCTTAGTTCCTACCCCACCCCCCCCCCAACCACCCCTCACATGCAGGAGCTTAGGCTTCGGGCCTTGGAAGTCTTTCAAAGTCCCAAGTGTATACTTCCTTGGCTGCTCGTAGTGTAAGCTTCAGGGCATTGCAGGGGCTTCATGTAAGGTTCAGCTGTCGGTAAAGGACGGTATGGCTCCGATAGTATCCATGCGACTCCTACATCTAAGAGCACCAGCCACAGCGCCCTTGCAAGAGGAGTCTGACAGTACTAGTTCGGACCTAGCTGCCTTGAAAGCCCGTGTAGAATGCATCAAGGTCAAGGACTCTCCATCCGGAAGCTGGGCAGAAGCCGTGCCCCTCCGCCCACAAACAGCCCAAAAAACAAAGAAATAGCAGAAGCAAGCATGTCTATAGATATACTTGCAAGGTGCCTATGTTGGGTTAAGTGCAGTAAACACGGGGAGAGCATGGCCCTCCATGCCCGTAGGACAGCAGTGGATGCGGCATCGTTACAAGGGCAAAGGCTGTGGTCGAGCAGGCGAGGGGCATGGATTTAGGTTTTGGGGTCCAGGGGGTTGGGGTCGTGCTCCAAACCCTGGAATTCCAGGTCTCGACAATGCCCTGGAACTTCGTAACGGCATTGGGGGTGGCCGTTTGGGATCAGAGTTCAGGACGCTTCAGGTTGCTGATTTAGGGTTTGAGGATCAGGAGTTCTCAGGGCTTGGATGGTTGCTTAACGTTTCTGGGTGTCAGGTTCGGGATTCAAGGCTTCTAGAGTTCAAGATGTAGGGCAGTGCCTCAGCAGGACGGTATAGGCAGCAAGCAGTTCTGCGATACCCAAAACCTTAGAGCCTCTAAGCCTATGGCCTTAAGAGTACAGACTTGCAGCTGCAGCGCCACTCCCTAGCCCATGCATTAATGAAACATCGACCTGACTGTCGTGTCCCAAGGTCACCTGGTCCTCGTTCACCACCTTCAACGCTGAACCGTACAATCTACCCCAAACCCTACTGAGACCATCAAGACCTGAAAGCTAAGCTTGGTCCAATCTCGGCCCTGTTTATCCCACCTTCAGGTCCTCAACGGAACTCAGGGGACCTTAAGCCCCAAACCCTCTGCATCCACAGACCCTCCCTTGTGTTGCTTTGACTTTGGGACTTCCGGCCCCCTGAGAGAGGAAGAGCTGGCCGCCATGGAGGAGCTGCGGCGTTCGCTGAAGGGTGGTGCGGGAGCCCCGAGGGGACTGCCTTCAGGCTGCCGAAGGGCTTGGCGCAGGGGGGGTGTGGGGTCTTGGGTTTTTACGAGTTTAGGGTTCAGGGTTTAGGGTTTAGAGCTTTGCGCGGTTCAGGTTTTGGGATAGGGCTTGGGCATCTGCGGGTCCTAGAGAGGGCTTGGGCATCTGTGAGTCCTAGAGAAGTCGCCCGATCACTCAAAACACGACATGTATACCTGGACGTCCGGAGGGCTTTCTTGGTTACGAATATCTTGAGTATTTTGAGAAGGGCATGCTTTTCGCAACCTTTCGGCTCCAAGCTATATTGTGCGTGCTCGATCCCCCACACCAACCTACCAGCGTCATAATCATCATAGCCAGAACGGCTTTGCGTTCCTAACCGGACTTATATGCGTCAAGCTCCGAAAATCCGACACCTGAAGGTTTAGTTTCGAGTCTGCTGAGAAATGAACCTGCATTCGAAACTAGTCGCAGCAGAGAATCAAGCCGTTGTATACCACAGCACCCCAGCATCTCAACCAACCCAAAAACAAGCCAACAGAACATCCTTAGACCTTCACTTCATCCTTTCATGGTGTCATGTACCATGAACATGGGTTCTTTGAGGGTCCATGTATCCCAAAACGCCCTAACGGCCTAAGAGATCGCCTCGCTGCCTCGCGCCATCGGAGATGCCTGCTTTTGCAATGTTGCGGCCCCTGGGGGCAGCCTTGCGACGGGGCTTCTCCACAGCCTCTACTGCACCCTGGCTCCGTAAACCCCTAAATCTAGAGTTTAGCGTTCAGAGCATACCAAACGGAAAGCGTATTCAGAAAGCCAGCTGAAACAGCTCGCAAACCTTACCCTACATCCCCAGTCTTAGTTCCTTACAACTCTCACGCCCATTCTTTGAACTTTGTACTTTGCACGTAGCGATTGGCGGAATATGGCGGGAATTGTCCGGAGGGAGATTTTCGGCGCCGAAAACCGCAGCACTGATACTCCGACACTCTGGGACGAAAGAGCATCGAAGCGACCTTTGTGAGCCTCCACAAAGGCAGAGCCGCTGCTCACCCCTTAGTTTTCTTGTGCAGGCGAAGCCAACCAAACATCGACCTTTGGGAGCTTAGGGGTTAGGGTTTGGGGTTTAGGGTTTAGGGTGCGAGACTTTTGAAGCCCGGTTGAATCGGTTGAATATGCTCAGACGTATTCTGAGATGTCCGTACAAAGAGGCCCCCCGGGGTGGCTTCGCACGCCTGGGCGCCGCGGACGTGGCAGCACTTCGCCAACTCCTTGGCGAGCGCCTTTTGGCCTCTGAATGTCAGCATTTAAGTGTTTTTGGGGCTCAGTGTTCAGGGTTTAAGCCTTGCTTGTTGCATTTGTTTCTTGCCTTCAATCTCGCAGATTCTGTCCTCGACTGAAGGAAACGTGGTGACACCCGAGGAGACGCAGCGCGAGGCCCGGGTTGAAGCAACTTCGCAGCTGGCTGTAGAGAAGTAACAGGCGCCCCTGTATACCCGTGCTCTTCACAGTCAGAGGGTTGTTGAAGGGACAGGTGGATTTGCAGATGGAAGGGAGGATGAAGGAAATGTTAAAGCCATGCACAACCCCCCCAAAGCCCAAAGCTATGTAGAACCCCCAATGCTCAGATCCCGCAAGCTGCCAGGAGCTTCTCAGATTTAACCAGGACTGGATGGGTTGCTTGCCAGCAGTAGCTCGAAGCTGTTGGCTCTGGCTAGCAGCTTTTGGATTTACTGCTAAGGGTCTAGAGTTCAGGATTTGAGTCGGGGCATAGTCCCGAGTCTCGCCCCATATTCCTGTTTGAGACTGCTTACTCCCCGGGAGCACTGTGCAGCCGCCCTTGAATGCGCCGCGGATCCTCCCCAGAAGCCCCGAATCCCTTAACAAACGCCCTCTGGACCGAGCAAGGACTGCATTCACTGCATTCAGGGTCTTGGGGGCACGTTGCGGATGTGGGGGTTTACGATAATTCGGGACCCCGTATATAGACCCCCAAATAGTACAATCCCATTATTATAAGGACCCCAAGAAGGCACGCCTAATATCGTAAACCCCGTATAAGGACATTTCCCGGGCCCGGCAACCCTGCTCCAAGGCAAGTGGGAAGGCCGTAGTGCGGCAATTCTGAAGCCAGCACCGCGGCGCCAGGAAGGTTCATCAGGGTTTTGTCGGTTTAGGGTTTAGGGTTTAGGGTTCAGGGTTCAGGGTTCAGGGTTCAGGGTTTGCTGTTCAGGGTTTAGGGTTTGAAGGAAATGCAGGGTTTGGCAAGAAGGTGCTTAGCAGGGTGCGTATATCTTTCTCGGGAAGAATGCCTCAGCTGTGTTGTGACAACCTGTCTGCACTCGGACCTTACTGATTTTTCTTGCTTTGCAAGGTGGGACACGACCTAGGTTTCGGGCTTTCGTAGGTTGAAGGGTAGGGTGAGGGAGAGTAGCGATGACAGTCCAAGTCGCATTTTCGATCAGTATGCTTTGACACTTGGCCAACGGGGCGGTGGTAACCAAGCTGCTCTGTCAACACTTTCAGGCCCTTTACACCCTCGACCCAACCCTTTAAAGCTACACAGCTCAATCCGTGTTGGCACCCAGGCATCTACCGCAGAGGTGTCTGCTGTCCTCAAGCATCCTGGCTAGCTTTGGCAAGAGGCGGTTCCGAATAATTACTAACAGTGTTCCCTTATGGTTCCTATATAATTGGGGTATGACCATGGTGTTTGAAGACTTGCATCGCCCCATCCGGCAAGGTATGCCAATGAGAAGAACTTGGCCGTGGTACCTCAAGGCGGCAACACAGGCGTGAGGGCAAGCCCACATTCGCACATGAAGAGTCAGGGTTTAGGGTTTAGGGTTTAGGGTTTAGGGTTTAGGGTTTAGGGTTTAGGGTTTAGGGTTTAGGGGTTAGGGTTTAGGGTTTAGGTTTTAGGGGGGTTTAGGGTTTAGGGATGTTTAGGGTTTAGGGATGTTTAGGGTTTAGGGATGTTTAGGGTTTAGGGATGTTTAGGGTTTAGGGTTGAGGGTATAGGGAGTCATCCTTCGTGCTGTTCTCCGAGAGTATGGCTGCATGGCTTGCAAGGGAGTGCAGCGCAAGGGGAAGCTTAAGCATTTGCCCAGAGACCAAAGGCCTAGTGCATGCCCTTGTTAGTGGCTGAGAGTTTGTCAGGGCAGAAGTCATGAGGTGCTAACGCTTCCTAACGAATGAGCTATGCCCCATGCCCCCAAACGATGCAGCATGTGAAGGCCTTGTTGGTGGCTCCGTTCCTGTACATGATGAGCTCGCTCCTTTGCTTAAAATGGTCCTGGATGAGATGGGACGAGTCTTGAGCCCTGAGCATCATGCGGCATCCAGCAATCGAGGCAGGAAATGTGGTGTTCGAGCGCATACCGCAAAAGCATTCAGAACCACTGCTGTAGTTCAAGGCATCCACTTCTTGAATGTGGCCTGAGCACTAGTACCATGAATCCCCGGCACTTGCCAGCGCAAGCCCCAAGAAGAGCAGCAGTCCAGGTTCTCTCCCTTTTGCGGATGAACCAGGTAGAAGATCTCGAGACTCGGTCGACTTTTTGGATTTGGGGGGCCTGGGGTTAAGTTTAGGGTCGATAGTCTTCAACCACGACGTTCCGACAAGCAGGGTTGTGAAGCTGGGATGTTGCATGTATTCAAGGTTTGTTTGGGGAGATTTGGGATGTCTTTTCTTGCCGAAGAACCTGTTTTTTTGGGCGCAGGTGTGCTCAAATGCCATCTGGGCCCAGAAACCACTGCTGGCATGTGCTTCAGAATTGAGTACAAGTAGTCGTGCCCGGGCATAGGCCATGCACATCAGGCCTCCATCCTCGTGTTGCCCAAGGTGTTGCACATCGGTCATGGCAACAGTAAAGCTCCCAAGGTCTGCATCGTGCAGTATTCCGAAGAATCTAACTACCCCTCAGCATATGCTCACTTGCGCACTTGCGCGAGACAATCTAGTGCGACTGGACTGTTAAGGACACACGCTCCGGCATCGTCACCGTGCAAGCAGGCTGCGTGCTGGAGCAGCTGGACCAGTCTCTCGGCGGTAGAGGTGAGGTATGCATACCAACTCCGGTAAGCTGACACGAGTTCGTCACACAAGGGCTGTTGCAAAGCTCTTTGCTGGGTCCTTTACACGGGGTCCATGTTCTTGTAGAAGGAACCTATAAGTGGGACCCTAAGTTATCGCAATTCCGCTTCCCCCCCCCCCGCCCCCCCCCCCCCGCCCCCCCCCGCCCCCCCCCCCGCCCCCGCCCCCCCCCCCGCGCCCCCCCCCCCCCCCCCCCCCCCCCCGCCCCCCCCCGCCCCCCCCCCCCCCCCCCCCAATTTTGGAATGTTGGATGAGATTAGGCATCTTGCCCAGCACGACTTCATGGTCCCCCTTGACTTGGGCGCGAAGGCCACTTACCAGATCAGGCAACTTGATCGGAGTTTCAATAGCTGCACGTACAGCATGGTCTAAAGGAAGGAGCCGGTGCTCTTCTGAGTACTTCGATCATCCTGACACCTGGTGTTCTGAAACGTCCGGACCCTAATCTGCCGCCAGGGCACCTGCACCATCGGTGGGAACGCGGCAACCAATGCAGGCATTGCGCGCATGCCCTCAAAGCCTAAACCCTAAACCCGGAGAAGTGCTGGGGTTGTATTCCGTTTACCCCCAAGCTGGCCCTCAACCCGATTATGAATATTGCTAGGGTTGGGGCCGATGTCTTAAAGGCAAAGCCCCCCCCCGGTCGAGTCTCTTAGTTTGGGTTGCTTCTGAAATTTCCCGAAATCTTCTGCAGGCGGCCTCCGGTACTTGCGCTACGGCTCCCTTCGCACCTCGCCTGCGTTGCTGGCCGTGCAGCTTCGTTCGAGATGGATACCTGTGCACTCTAAACTTGACCCAAAACCCAATAAGCCAATAAGCCATAAACGCCCTTGAATGAGTGCTAAACTCTCTGTACGCCCGACAAGTCCTACACCCCAAGAAGCCCAAATAAGCCGCCCTGTCAGCGCTAAACCCAAGTCTAGACCCCTTGGCTAGCACTCCGAAACCCTAAACTCTGACCAGAAGGGTTTAGGACCCTCAGAACCCAACATCTTCTTGCAGGTGGCAATATCCTTGGCCTGGAAGCCGTGCTTGCCGATGGCAAGGCATGCGACATTGTCCTGCAATTCCCTGAGTCCCTGCGGTCACTTCTCTAAATTCTGGTTTCTTTTTGGGTGTTCCTATTCATGTAAGGCACCCTCTGATACGGTTTTGTTGCAGGGGGTTAGAGCCCGAACCAGGACCCTTAGCTATGCCCTGACGGTGGGTGCCTGCAGCCAGGCTCTGGGGCCTCATATTCAGGAGGGTCCCGAAAAAGGTACCCTAATGTGAAGAATTGCTTCGGGTTCAGGAGTTCTACAGGGTTTGGAACTGGGCTACCCGAAGACCCAAGCCCCCCCCCCCCCCCCAAAACAGCTTTCCAGAACTGGAGCTTAGAGGGTAAGAGCAAGCTGTGTAAACCCTAAACCCTAAACCCTAAACCCTAATAACCCAAGCCCTACCCGTACCCCTAAACCCTAAACCCCAAACTCTCAAACCCTAAACCCTAAACCCTAAACCCTTAAACCCTAAACCCTAAACCCTAAACCCTAAACCCTAAACCCTAAACCCTAAACCCTGAACCCAATCATCCCTATTTTGTGGCAGGTGGTGAACTCCCTCTCGGCCCTGCGCAAGGTCGGCCCGGGTCGCTGTCCCGTCTTGGGGGGCAACAGAGGGTTTAGGGTTTAGGGTTTAGGGTTTAGGGTTTAGGGTTTAGGGTTTAGGGTTTAGGGTTTAGGGTTTAGGGTTTAGGGTTTAGGGTTTAGGGTTTAGGGTTTAGGGTTTGGGTTCTTTTGGGGGGTTCCACTGCGAAGAAGTTTGGGGTTTCAAGGTTGCGTGTGAGCTCCTTGCGTTTCGTTTGAGCTCGAGGTACCACTCTTGGGTTCGCAACTGTAAATGGAGTCCCGAGCCGTCGGGTACCCCCAGGACAGCTATGCGGCACATGGGCAAAAAGCGAGTTGCAAACCCTGGAGGGCTTATTGGCGATAATCACCATCTTCTCTTAACCCTAAACTTGAAACCCTAAACCCTAAACCCTAAATTCCCCTGCATGACAATCTGGGGCCCGGGGTTTCAGGACAACACTGGCTATGGGCTGCCGCAGCTGTTCATCGGATCCGAGGGCACATTAGGCACAGCCGAATTTGAGATCGAGGCTTTATGGTGGTCGGCGAAATGTCTTCGGGCCCTTACTCTGATGCTGTAACGGATCTGGTTACTCTACCTGTCACCTCTGCGCTGAAAATTCGGGGCTTCCCAGACACTGAACCAAGTGGCGAGTGGTGTTTCTAGCTGTTGGAAGGCATTTTTTGGCGTGAGGAGTCCATGTCAGGCAGCTGCCAAAACAATGAAAGTGTCCGCGAACAACTGCAAACTACCAACTTCGTTCGATGGCAATTCCACTACAAAGTCTAGTTAGCTAGTGGCAGCTAGTGCCATGAGCACAGCACTTGAAGATGTCAGGCGTGTTCATGGCTGACCCCACTGGCAAGGATCTATTCTTCAAAGAGCCCAAAGCACAGAAGCACAGATTCGGAACAGAGCCCCAGATCCCTCGAAGTCCCATTCCAACCTCCAAGCACTCGAACCACCTCCCCCTACCCAAACACAATCTTCCTACTCCTGTTGCATGCGATGCAAGCTGAATAGGTTTGGGGATTGATAAATTACGGTTCTCCGAGTCTCACAATGAAAACCCCAGCCCTGAAATCCTGAACCCCGAACCTTCAGCCTAAACACTGAATATATTCTAGGTCCCACCAGCACGGGCAGGCGTGATTACAAAGCTGACGATCCTGTGCCCCCCGCGTCCAAAGGCTGAGCTGCGTTGTCTTTTGGGTCATGGGTCTTTGGGGTTCGAGAGATGAGGGTGCAAGGCTTCAGGGCTTATAGCGTCTGTAGGGTTGAGGTCCCAGTGGTACTCTGCTTCACTTGGTCTAGGGCCAAGGCTCCCTTTTAGGCACTTTCATTGCCTGAACCCTGAACCCTAAAACCTTGGAGTTATTAAGGACTGTTAGCATAAGGGGGAACATCCCAACCCTAAAAAAACCCTAAACAACTTTGGAGTCTGGAGTTTCGGCCATCGACTTTTCGAGGGAATCCACCCCCGACTCTGCTGTCTCCATCCCTGTCATCAGGCCATTAACATCGCCTTCTTTGCCTGCGCCGACTTCGAGAGCGCCTTTCGGATGCAAGAGGGTTTAGGGTTTAGGGTTTGGGGTTTGGGGTTTAGGGTTTAGGGTTTAGGGATATTGCTAGCCGGACATATTGCTCAGCTTAGCCTGGATCTCTGGGGCCGGGCTGCCGACTCCATGTGAAAGGAGCTTCAGACTCAAAGCTGAATGTCGGAGGCCTTTTGCTTCCCGCCAGTCTAGCTTTGACAAAAAACAAAAAACTCAACTCTACGCAATGTTTGGGTCGGAACAAGGGCAGGCCGAATAAAGAGACACCCTACGCCTCACAGCGTTGGACTCTACATCATGTGCGATGCTCAACATCGTGGACCTGTCCTTTTGGCACCCTAAGCCCTAAACCAACAAGGAGTTTGCTGCGACAGAGAGGCCGAAAACGGTGGATCACCTACCCCCTTTTGCCCCCCTATTAGTCCTTATTACCCCCCCCCCCCCCCCCCGGGGCATACACTTTTGCCGAGTCAGGTCCAGCGCACCTTCGCGCTGGCGCGTCAGAACCTCGGCGAGGCCCTCCTTCTTGGGTTGCCAAACGTTTAAGGTACCCCCTAATTTCAGAAACCCCCAAATTAGGCCAGGACGCTGTTGCTGGAGCAAATGGCTTAGATTCAGGATTAGGTGGGTTTCTGTCGTGTGGCAGCAAACCGTGCCGCTGGAAGATCAACCTTTCTGCCCTGGCCAAGCACTTGTCAGCATTGGGGCTTCTAGGAGGGTTGAGGTTTTAGGGTTCAGGGTGTAGGCTTTCTGTTTGAGGGCTGCTAAGGTGCTAGCATGCACTGGTCTGCAGCAGTATCGGCGAAGCATCGGGATGTTGTGTGACCGGTCACTTTCAGACACATCAGAGTTGCACTTTTGATGCTGAAGGCTATGGCTGGATGGGACGGAGCCTTCCATTCTTGGAAATCTCCCAACACCCCCAGTACCACATCTGAAGCTCCTTCATGCCAGGTGCTCTCCGCCGTGGAGTTCTGCGACCGCACGGCAATTGACTTTGTGCACCCTGGCTGCTTTGAAGGGCTGGGTTTTTCAGGTCTTCACCTCTGAGAAATGATGCTCTGGTCGTGAAGAGAAGCCAATCCCAGACACCCAAGGAGCATTCCGTACACACTATCTTAAGCTTCGGGCGCTCTTTCAATCTTGCCTTGCCCCAATAACCCCAAACCCAGAATCCCCCAACGCTCTTTGCGCGCCCCCCCCCTCCAAGGCTGAAGCGCGAAGCTGGAACCGGCGTGCGTGACCCTCTTGACGACACGCATCCTTTCTACGCGCCTGAGATGGAGAGTAAACTCTACGCCATTCCCACCCCACCCCACCCCACCCAGCCCACCTCAAGATCCTGACGGTCTAGAAGGAGGGTTTAGTCTCAACCAGCACCCACTTAATCAGCCGTACGTCCCAAGCCCAAGCCCTTGGTGTAGCCACCGGCTTTGTGTGTGTTTAAATGGAGGAGGTGCTTGAGTGGGTTCGAATTCACATCACACATCGGGAGACCAAAAGATGTCAGAATGAGACAGGCTCCGCAAACTCAGAACTCGGCCAAAAACAAAAAGATGAGACCCGACGCGCCTGGGTATCCTGCTTGTAAATGTGGCGATTCTCTGCGGGGGGAGCCGAAGTTAGGAAGCCCCCTAAACCCTAAACCCTAAACCCTAAACCCTAAACCCTAAACCCTAAACCCTAAACCCTAAACCCTAAACCCTAAACCCTAAACCCTAAACCCTAAACCGAATCCTCAGGTGCTGATCGAAACCTCAGGGTCCGACGGAGACCACGACACAGAGAAGCTAAGCTGAAAGTCCTTTCCCGGAGATGCGAGGTGCTAAAAGGTACCTGTTCGGGCCCTGGCCTCGTGAGGTGCAGGGTTTAGGGTTTAGGGTTGAGGGTTGAGGGTTGAGGGTTGAGGGTTGAGGGTTGAGGGTTGAGGGTTGAGGGCTTCCAGGGTTTACAGGGTGCCCTGATACATGTCCACAGGATTCGAGATGCAGGACGATAGATACATCGCAGGAAGCCAAGCATCGCAAGGCGAGGAGGTGAGATTTATCCATGCAGCTAGCCCTCACAAACTCACCAACCTGGCCTTGCGGGAGGTTTTGTTCGCGACCGCGCCCAAGATTCTCAGCACACCAAGCCGTCTTTAGGGCACCAAGACCCCGAACTACCTGCCACACCCTCAACCCTAAACCCTCAACCCTCAACCCTAAACCACATCGAAGCCCTAAGTTTCCTCAAGCTCCTGCGCCCAACGAGGAAGTTGCATCGATTCTTGGAGGAGGGCTGGGGCTTAGGGCTTAGGGGGGCTAGGGGGAGGGGAGGGCCAGGAGTGTTTAGGGTTTAGAGTTTATGGGTTTTTTAGGGGTTTATGGGAGGGTTTAAGGCGGGTTTATGGGGGCTTATGGGGGTTCATGCGGGGTTAGGGGTTTATGCGGGTTTCTGGGGGCTTCTGAGTGCAGATGTGAGTTACCAAGAGACCTCCGAGTTGTTAAGGGTTTCTGGTGCTGAGGAAAGTGGGGGCTTGCCCGAAATAGTGGAACCCCCAGAACTTGAACTCTGATGCCCCTTCAGTCAGCCCCTAGACGCAGAAAAGCTGGCGAAACCTAAAGCCCAGCGAGTGGCAAGCACTCAATCCTACCCTGGAGCCCCAAGGTATCCATGGTATTGTAGTATAGTTCCAAAATGTTCCAAACAAAAGGTGGATATCGGCGACTACTAGGAGTACTTTGGAGGTCTAGTCTCGGCAATGTCTAAAGCAAGACAGGCTGCCATGTCTGGCGATGGGGATGCCGCCGTAAGTGACGGCGTTGTGGCAGCGGATGAGACCCAGGCTCGAGTGAAAAAGCAAAAGTTCAGGCTTCAGGGTTAGGAGTTCGGGTGACCTATTGTTTTCTTTGGGAAGTGATTGAATAGGTTTACAACTGTCTGTGAACCCGCAGAGCAGAGCCCTTAAATACGGTGTTAAACGAGGCTTCTCCTGCGAAGTGGTATAAGCTTTTCTGGCTAGATTCAGGGTTGAATCAGGGTTGAATCAGGGTTGCAGAGTTTCTGGCGACATGGGCTGGTAACCTGCAGGCACGCGCCATCTGGAGGCTTCGCGAGGGTGTCAGCGATGCGATGACCACGGCAGGTTATGTCACCTGGCAATTCCCAGTACATTTTTACCTTGACATGTCATCTCGGATACACAGCCCACCTCAACACGTAACGTACAACGACGAGGTATTCGCATCACAGGCAGGAACCATGTGCCAAAGCTTTTGCTTCAGAGAGCTTGCCCGTCCTCAGCCCTGCCTGTAGCAGCAGTAGCCCCGCTGGAACGCACTTGCTGTACGCTGCCCGTGGCATTGTGGGGAGGTTCCAGAAACTATCCCTGAATCAACTACTCCACATCAGACTTTCCAAAGGGGGGGGGGGGGGGGGGTTGATAGTAGTTTTGAAATCTCCTGCCGCTGCACCCAAGGTCTACAAGTATGACGTTTCCCTACCACTTCCTCGCATGTACGAGCTGGTCGTGGACACACGTGAGAGGCTACTTGTGGGTGAGTGGCTCATTCAATGGCAGCAACACGATTGCCGGTCTTCCCTCCGTCGCCCGATATCGTAGAGTGGTTTGCCATCGATGTCCTATGCAGCACACTCGAGAAGTGCAAAGCCCAGCTAAGTCCCTTAAACCCTGCAGGTCCCAAACTCGAAGCGCCTCTAAAGGTGCTAAAGCCCTTAAGCCCTCAAAAAGCCCACCCTGAATTGTCTGGGGCCCTCAAATGCCCTTAGAACCCTACAAGTGGGTGCTGTTCTAAGTCAGGGCACCCTGTGAGGCACCTTAGTTTAGTTTATTATGTCAGCATCATGCCTCGTTTAGAATACCCCCACCCACTCAACCAAGCGGTTTAGGGTTTAGGGGTTAGCATTTAGGGTTTAGGGTAGTCCTGGCTGCAGGTTGCGAGCTGCTGGTGTAGAGGCGCACGCGCGTGGGCGGGCGGGGGTGGGAGGGTCCAGGACTTAGACCTAAAACCAGAAGGCCCAAACTAGGCCTCAGGAGGAGCCGCGGGCAGTGTTTCGTCTTGAGTTGAATCTAAGGCCTCCCCTTAGGATTGCGTTGACCGCCTGACGACAGCTAGCCGATTACAACACACTGCACCACTCTGAAAAACCGTATCGGAAGCAAGCCTTGACTGGCACACGGATGATGTGACCCAGCATGATGTCAAGGTGACACGTTCAAGAATGTGTAGGGCTTGGGGCTTTGGCGAGCGGACTCCGGCTTAGGCAGTGGGCTCAGGGCACGAGACTTGTGTCTCTGCAAATCGCCTCGCAGGATTCCACCAGAACTGCTGGGTACGGCCATCTAGGCCGGTCCGCGTTGTGTGAGGGCTGCTGATGCGATTTGTAGGTGCGGTTGTCAGTAAAGGAATCGCAAGAGCAGAGATCAGCGAATCACAGTTTTTCCAGCTTACGAAACAAGTTTCCCACAAAGGCACCGGCACAGCCATAGATTACAGCTAGTGCTAACTTCTCCCGAGCCCTACATTTTGCCCTCTACCCACCCCCTCAACTGTGAGAAGCCTCCAAGGGAGGGTTGATGGCATCTGCGGATATGCTGAACGCAGATGTTGCATCTTTCTGCCCATTTTCCCACAACAGGTCTAGAGACTTAGGGGTCGGAATAATTACGAATAGTACTCCCCCATGGTCCCTTTATCAATATACTATAATAACCCCCAAAACCGTGTTCTAATTGTTAAGGCCCCTATGTTGACTCCCTAAACCCTAAACCCTAAACCCTAAACCCTAAACCCTAAACCCTAAACCCTAAACCCTAAACCCTAAACCCTAAACCCTTCAGGGTTCTCTGACTCCTCAACTTGAGGCGACGCAAACCTTCACTTGAATGTGACCTCCCTCACTGGTCGGGATGACAAGGCTGGGAGCCTCTCCGTCCGATACAGGAAGGGCGTAGTGGGTTTAGGGTTTAGGGTTTAGAGTTTAGGGTTTAGGGTTTCGGGTTTCGGGTTTAGGGTGACTTCTTAAGCAGCGCGAGCAGTTGCTGCAGTTTCTGGGAGCTTCATGGCCTGTGTGGTGGGACCTTGGCCCTCGGGTATGGGTCTGTGGATGTTTGGGCTTTGGGCGTAGGGTTTCCCTTGGTCACGTCATTACCCAGCACCTCAACCACGCAGCCCGCATCCGAAACAGATGCCAGTCGCCAGGTCCTGGATCTGTTAGAGCCCTGGCTCTTCGAGTGGGTGGCGAAGGCCAAGGGCAGTCGCTCGGACCATCATGGTTCTGGGTGTAGCGAGTCGCGTGGAAGCTCTATAAGGAAGCCTGAACTCCTGAAACGCATATGTAATGTGAACATGGCCCAAGCTCGTCAGCTTCGCATCGGGAGACTTGTAGGTTTCAAGGCGGCTCCAACTCGAAATCTGCAAGTGGGATTGGACCGAAGCTACAAAAATCAGCCCAACATGCTAAGGTGAAGCCCTTCTTGGCCCTTGGGCGGCTACCCAAATGCTCCGTGCCCTGAGCCTGAGGCATCAGTGCAGAGCATGGTATCGGCCAGTGCAAGCCTCACTTCCTGCACCTCAGCAAGGCTGCCGCCTGGCGCGACAGCTACAGGGATTGAGGGTGTCTGCATGCGCTGGGTTTCTTGGACCCTCGCTCTTGTTAGAGGTTCGTTCTCCTTCTTATTCAGTTCAGACCTGATAAAACAGAAGCCGCAACACAAAAGGCTTCCTTGTGAACTCCGAGGTTACTGTGTCTGAGGAGTTCGGTAGCCGCAAACCCCTCCAATCTGTGGGCTCAGGGTGCTTGCAAGCGTCATGTGAGCCCTTTGGGGTGTCCTTGCAAAGAGGATTCTACGTTTAGGGTGTAGGGTTTGTAGTTGGAGCTTGGGATTCAGGACAGCGCTGTCGATCTAATGAAGATACCTGGCTGCAAGCAGCTCCGGATTGTTGGAGAGACGTGGTTGGGGCGCTTGTGAGTGAGTGTGCATGTGTGTGTGTGTAGTTTTTGACCCTAAACCCTAAACCCTAAACCCTAAACCCTCAACCCTCAACCCTAAACCCTAAACCCTAAACCCTAAACCCTAAACCCCAAACCCTAACATACGTAGAGCAGCTTCCCAGCGAGCACGGTTCGATGTTCCGTAAGTCGTTGGAGACAGCAATCCCTGGTGTGCAGAGGGTGACAAGGCAGTAGAGACATGCAGGTGCTGAAGGATTCAGGAAATTTGAGCTGCGAAGGGCAGAAAAAACACACAGACCTCAAGGTTTAGGGCTTTGGGTTTAACTCGGTACGACCTCACCTTGAAAGAAGCCGATCTCAACATAAGAAAAGCCAATATCTCATTGGGACCGCTGTACGCTGCGATGAGCACACCCAACCCGGGTGTGCTTCAACAGAGAAGAAGTCCGTCCCTCTCAAGCCTCAACATCCTGAACCTGAAGCCCTAAAGGCCCTAAGCCCTCAAAGTCCTCACCAAGCTGACCCCCCTAAACCCCAAACCCCAAACCCCAAACCCCAAACCCCAAACCCCAAACCCCAAACCCCAAACCCCAAACCCCAAACCCCAAACCCCAAACCCCAAACCACAAACCCCAAACCCCAAACCCCAAACCCCAAACCCCAAACCCCAAACCCCAAACCCCAAACCCCAAACCCCAAACCCCAAACCCCAAACCCCAAACCCTAAACCCTAAACCCTAAACCCTAAACCCTAACCTATAGCCACCTTTGCACCCAGAAAGCCCTGGCAGGACGTTGAAGGCCACCCTGGACCCGCAGGGCATCCTGAATCCCTACAAGGTCCTTGTGTAGAATGTACAGAGGTTAGGGTTTAGGGTTTAGGGTTTAGGGTTTAGGGTTTAGGGTGGGAGGATTTTTACCAGGGTTTCAGGTCGAGCGACTTTTTGCAGCTTGGCATTTACGCCACGCATTGACGGGCTTTAGAGTGAGGTCAAAAGACCCTTTTTGGTAAACCCTAAACCCTAAACTTGGAGAAAGGGAGTCATTGCATTAAAAAAGCCCTAAACCCCAAACCTCAAAAGCCCGCAAGATCAGTTTTTAGGCAGGCTGCGCGGATTCGGCTATTCGCTGTCTCATATGATGATTTCATGTGCATGTGGACCCTGCCGCCAAGAGCAGCAGCCATAAAGGTTCAGGGTTTAGGGTTTAGGGTAACCCCAAGCCTTTTGATGGACAGCTCTGGCGAGTTCGCAGAAGCCTCCCAACAAGCCCCTCAAAGCAGGGGCTGTTTCAGACCGGTAGAGAAGATTGTTCTCCACTGCGTGTGCCGATGTTCGGACTCAAAACCGATTGAAATTGAGCAAACTTGAACCCCCTCAGAGGGTTGGGAGTGTAGAGCTTAGAGCTTATAGGGTGTAGGGTTTCGAGGGGGTATAGAGTTTCGAGGCTTATTGCGAGGTTGAGAGCTCACAGGGTTTCTTGGGTCTTGCAGGCTTTTGAGGGTTCAGAGCTCAGTTTTTCTGTGTCCGTGAAAAGAAGACGAGGAGGAAGATGAGCCACTCAAGAAAACCGTTTAGGGTTTCGACCCAGTTGTGGCTGTGGCTTTAGGAGCTTTCGGATTTACGGAGGTGGTGTTGATTGTTGACATGCATGACTGTTACTACTAGTGTTTATTTGTGTGGCAGCAATCGAAGTAGCAGCATTGGCGTTCTTACTGTTATTCTATACGTCTCGTTGATATGTATGACTATTCTTCTTATCATTCTTGGCAAGGGTTTCGTGTATAGGGTACAGGGGCGCGGCGTGGTGGCTTCCACCCCAGTAGCTTTGCATTCCCTTGCTTATGAGGGTTAGGTCCCCCGTCTCCTTGGAAGCCCAAAAAGCGGGTACTGTACCCTTGTGCTGTAGAGACCCACACAGTCCACTAGGGGCGGCCGTTCGTACCCCTAAACCCAAACCCTAAACCCTAAACCCTAAACCTACCCCTAGCTGTAAGCTCGCCCGAAAAGGAGTGAAGGGTTGTTAAACAAAAAAACCCTAAACCCTAAACCCTAAACCCTAAACCCCGGCTCTTCAACTTTGGGGCCCCCGAGGCGCTTCGACTCCAGCGCGCCCTGGCACAGGCTCGCTGCCTACAAGGGGCCCTGTTGCTAAATCCCCCTTGGGGAAGTTTTTTGTTTACACAACACCCAAGAGGATATTTGAAATATTATGTATTATTTTTGTTTACATAAAACCCAAGAGGATATTTAAAATGTTATGTTCATGAAGGTTCTAAGGGGAGTATAGGTTGTCTTAATATCTCCAAAAGCATCCTTAAACCCCAAGCCCTCAAGTTTAGGGCTTGGGGCTTAAGCATGTTTCAGGGCCTAAACCCAATAAACCCTCAGCCCTACATCCTAAGCCCTCAAGAGGCTTCGGGTTTAGGAGGGTTTGGGATCGAGTCTGGAGGTTGGAGGGTGAGTGAGTGAGTGAGTCGACCGAGGCACGTGCCGGCTGGAAGCCCTTACCGGGCCTAACAAAAAGGCCGACACCTCCGGCCCGAAGGCGAAGCAGTCACTAGGCAAGCCCGCCACCTACACCAACCCGGGCAGAGTACTGCTCGGCCGGGCAGGCATAAGGGCAAGGCAGCTTGCCATCCTCGCGATAGCCTCATCCAACGCAGCTCTTCCCCCGAAGGTCACCCTCAACGGGCAGTGCTCGACGCGTGGCCATTTAGGCTAGCACTCTTCTCCGCAGGTCCCTCTGCGGATACTAGGTGCCCAACGTGCCCAACCCGACCTTCATGCACCCGGACCCACTCACGTCACAGCCTCAAACCTTCATTCCAGCTCACAAGGGCCTGCCTCCGCCAAATGGCAACACGATGCCACCCCCTTTCTCAGCTGGTCCCCAAGCAGTCTGCCCTTCGAGTGGTGGGATGGAGCCCAAAGCTGTGGGCAACATCCAAAGGAGGAGGGATGGAGGGTGAAGAGTTTGCAGGTCAGAGTCTTCTTGTGGGGGCACAACCCTCTAAGCCCGGAAGAGGGGCCAGCCAGCCTCGTCGTCATTCCCCAGGGCTTCAAGTACGTGAATGATTGCTGCTTCTTAGGAGCCAAAAGTCGTCTACAACCAAGCACCCGATTTTGTTTTGTATTCCGCGCGTTCGGAGGCGGTAGCCATACTGCCAGCAAAAGCCAAGCCAAGGCAGCGGCGTGTTACGATCAGCCTAAGCCCTTAACCCTAAACCCGACACCCTAAACCCTATACCCTAAGCCCCAAACCCCAAACCCGAAACCCTAAACCCTAAACCCTATAAACCGTAAACCCTAAACCCTAAACCCTTGTCTTCGACAGGCCCAGGAGGCACGTGTGGATTTGCACGATGGCGGCCCTGAGCTGTCCCGGCGGCTGCAGTTCTGAGGTTTGGGGTTTTATAGGGTTTTATCGGGCTTTATAGGGCTTTATAGGGTTTATAGGGTTTATAGGGTTTATAGGGTTGATTATAGGGTTTATAGGGTTGATTATAGGGTTTATAGGGTTTAGGGTGTATGGGGTTTAGGTTTTCTAGGGCTTGGGGTTTATAGGGTTTAGGCTTTATAGGGTTTTGGGTTTGGGGTTTACAGGGTTTTTTCACAGGCTGTTTAGGGCCTGTACATGTAGGATTTCAGGATTTAGTTTAGGGCTAGCACGCAGACTTTAGGCTTCGTAGGGTTTAGGGGGGGTGGGCTTGGCTGGGGAGTGTTTGGCTTCAGGCCCATGGTGGCTTTTGGAACCTCATGTGTAGTTTCGTGGGCTCTCTACCTCAGATGCCCAGTAGTACCCTTATTCCCCTTTGTTATTGTTTTTTGGGCCGGGGGCGGGGGGGGGGGGGGGGGATTTCGGTTCCCTTAGAAGGCCCCTGTCTGCAAATAGGGGCACCCTTCTTAATCCTAGGTTACTGGGCAACCCCTGTTTGGTCAAGGTGCAACCCATAAGCGGGGGGGGGGGGGGGGGGGGGCGGGCTTGTAAATAGTTGGTACCTTGCAGCCACCTTTGTGTGTCATCTGCCACATGGAACTCAGAGTTTGTCAAACCTCAAAATTCACACGTCACAAGACCTACAAGCAACTATGGAGTTTAGCATTTAGAGAAGGGGATCTTGTGCCGTGAAGACACTGCCCAGGTTACAGATGGCGCAGGAGTGGGAGCCTCAGATGTGGGGGGTTTTCCGAAATTCGGGGGTACCTTAATGGGGTCCTTACTTTGCAAGGGGATCCTACGATTCGGGGCTCTGTGTTGGGGGTCCCCGATTTTCGTAAACTCCCATGTTTCGACGCAGACACAGTCTGCAAGCCAACCCGAAAAGGCCGATCTGAATCATGTGGCCGGTGTTTGTTTTTTCTGTACAACAGTGCAACCCTTATAGTTCAGGGTGCCATAAAGAAAGGGCCGGCAATGTAGATCCCTGAACTCGAAGCCAAGCCCAAAACCCTAAACACAGAACCCTAAACCCTAAACCTTAGCCATAGCCTCATGACCGCACAAAGCTTGAGGCAGCTTGGTGGCATCGCCCGGAAGAAGAAGAGCATCGCACTGCTGAAGGTTCTGGCTGGGGAGGGTTTTGGGATTTTGGGTTTGGTTTTGGGAGTTTTGCATTTAGGGTTTGGGTCTTTTCGCATGTCGGTCACGCGATGGTGGTTCATTTCGGTCGCCCAAACCCCGCACCAGGCCAAGGAATTCTGAGTTTAGGTTACCCTCCCCAAGGCATCGCTTTGGAAAGGTTTTATTACAGGATATAGGACTAGAATTTATCTGAGGGATTAGTTTAGGGAGCCCTAAAGGGAACCTGATTCTTGATCTCTACGAACTTTAAGCTTCCAAATGTTTGAAACATGCACACCCAGTCCTGCATCAGCTTGCACAGGTACCGAGAGGATGGCCCACTCCCCCACTCCCCCACTCCCCCACTGCGCACAACGACTGTCTGCCAGACAATTCCGAAGTCTCGTTCAGGGCGTCAGGCAAGTTGCTTTCAGAGTAAAAAAACCCAGAAACTGTACACCCCGTACCCCTTTAGACCCTACAAAGTGCACAAGCCCTAAACGTTCTAGAAGCCCTAGATACACCCCCTAAATCCAGTGACATGCGTCGACGGCGAGGCCCGTGGCCCAAACCCTTTGAAGCCTACATACACCCTAAACCCTAAACCCCTTACGCCCGAAACCCTCTGGCTTAAGAAGTTCACGGGAAGGTGGCCCTGGATTCGGGCAGTGCCACACGCTCAGGGGCAGGTTTTGGCTTGAAGGGTTCAGGGGTTCAGGGTGTAGACCTGCACGGTTCGGGCTTTAAGGTTTAGGGTTCAGGGTGGTATCACAAGCTTACACGTGCCTTTTGGATTTGGGTTTGGGGGCAGCCAGGCTTTGCACGATTTGCACCTGAAACGGGTTGAGGAGTTCTAGCCCACAAGCATGAAGTTTCGAGGCCGTTCATTCAAGACTCCGGAAGGCTGCGCCGCAACTCCGCGATTTTTTGCAGACCCATATCCCGAAGCCCCCGCCCCACCCCCCGCGCCCCCCCTGGAAAGACACCGTGGGCAAGTCCTCCAACCTTGACCTTTAACCACAAAACCTGGAAGCCCAAGCCCGACCGCCAAGCCTAGTTGTAGGGTTTTTTTGGGGTTCAACCGCTTGACATAGCCAGGACCCAGAGTAAGCCCTTATTCCCCTTTTTTGTTCAGGTTTAGGTTCCCTCATAGCTCCTAAGCCAAAATGGGTACCCTTTTTCTCACACTTGGGTCGACTAGTTCCGCCCGATGCACGATCCATGCCAGAAACTTCCCCTTGCAGAGCCCTTAGAACCCGAAATCTTGCGCCTTGAACCGCACTTCAACC